TATAGGCCTTTCTCCAGGAAACTGAGGTGTGAGGAGGTGGGAGGTTGGGAGGTACTCAACTGCAGAGGGAACAGGGGATGTCCAGTGCCTTCGCAGAGAAGCTTCATGCTGGGAAAGGAAGTTGCCTCTCTTTTGGCTGCTTGATGTTAATTGAGATTTTGGTTCTCATCAGCTGTAGACACGGACACAGATGCACAGACACATTCGAGTATGGGGAAGTGGCAACTCTGAACAGCAGGGTGGCTTCTGAGCTTTCCTGCTGCGCCCCTGGCAGCCTCTTTCCAGCCATAACACCTGGCCATAAAACACCACGAGTCCTCCACTCCCCCGGCAATAGCTTTCTGCATCCACTCCCAGAGAGGGTGCAGCTGCAAATCCAAGCATGCTCCAGTGGGCTTCTCAGTGCCCTTCCTCCCCTTTTGCTCTTTGCAAGGCTTTACAATCAGTGGCAACCTCAACCCTACCAATCCACAGGCACAGCCTTCTTCTTTTCAGGAGGGACACTGACTGAGGAATCAACACCTCTGAACATTCGTGTCACAGGTTTTAAGCACAGGAAAGTTGTATTGACTCTTGATTTGAGACAGGGAAAGGAAGAGATGCAGCTGGCAGTCTAACATGCATATGTGATGGCAGAAGAAATGGACAGCTTAAACCCCTGGAGAAAGCAATTTAGCACTTTTGTTGACTATGGAGACGACCACAGGCTTTAATATGAGTTGCATACAGGGAATGTCAGTGTAGCTGTTTCATTGGTACCAAAGCGAGTGTATCCAATGAAATGTTTAAACTATAAATTGATACACTATTCGATGACTTTACAGCACCTTATCACTACCCAAACCAGAGAAAGGAACAAACCCAACACCCTAAAGTCCCCTACAAATCAGCCTTCTCCTTTGGGTCCCCCCTATGCACCCCTGACCATTGCTCCTGGGGGCAGCAGGGCTAGAAGCATCACAAGGGCAAGCAAACTGAGTGACCAAAATTGTGATCCTGCACACACCAGTGGCTTGCAGAGACCCAGCCAAGTGCAGGGAAGCAATTCTGCGCTCCCAACTTGGAGAGCGCAGAAGAGATTGATGCCAGAGGTCCCGGGGCAAGCAATGAGAAATTCAAGTTCTTCCCAGAAAACAGTGAAGTCACCTCTCCTCTTTCTCTAGAGGAGCAGAAGGAATGAGGAAATGTTTCCTTTCACTAGGACTAACAACTCTCATTGCCCCTTGATGCCAGAAATAGAACCCCTTTCTTCTTCCCAGGTGCCAAGACCCATCGGCACTACTGCACAACCAGCCATACTACCTCCCTGCATCTACTACCTCCCTGCATCTTCCTGACATTTCAGCAAGTCACAGGAATGATGAAGTTTGGGGCTGGCCTAAAAAATCCTCTCCCTGTCCAGGTTATTCTCTTTACCCATTACGGGAAAAACCTGTGCTATGGCTGAAATGCCCATCCCTGCAGGTCCAGCTTGCACCCTTTGCCTGAATTTTTGTGTAGTCCTTTGTGCCCTTGAGCCCAGCTGTATAGCAGTGGGGAGGTATCGCTCCTCCTCCACGCCTGATTGCGTTGCTCTCTGTGATGGGTGGTGTGGTTGGGCCGGAGCAGGGAAAGTGGCCATCTGCCAAAAGTAAGGTCAGTACAGCCTGGGAAACAAAAGAGAGCTGGGTAGAAAGTGCCTTCCCTTACCTCTGGGTTAGCACAGCTAGATGCTACCTCAGGTGCTGGACTGATAGCATTATATCCAGCATATCACCGTATTCATTTTTTGTCTAGACTTTTCTACTTCTGCCAAGTGACAACCCAATTCTGCTTTCTCGACTGACCTCCAAAGCAGAATATCCAAGGCAATAAAAATGCAATGTCTGCCTGGAAACCACCCAGGCAAGCGGCCAGATCTGTAGCCCAGCTCTTCACCTCAAGGCTCACAGCCAAAATCCTGCCCTTAGACACAATTCCTCCTGAAGCCAGCCAGAGCAGCAGACTAGCATCTGCTCACTGGATCTGGCCGTCAGCTACAGATGGGCACAGACTGGGCTCTTCGCTGGTGTAAAGCAACTGAGCTCTACAACTGAGAACAACCTTCAACCTGAGGGCAGAAGAGTTGGTGTTCCTACAGGGCATGCATTCAGCAGAAAGTTCAGGATAAGGTAGATAAGCAGAAAGACTTTAACTGACTCAAATGAGAGTTACTCAACAGCAAGCACAGGTGACTCTCATGGCCAAGGGGACTCCTGGGCTGCCTGTATACACTGAGCTTTGCAATAAACTAGAGCACAAGCAACCCACAGCTTCCACAGGCCAGGTCTCCTCTCACACCAGTGTTAGAGAGGAGCTCGGACATCAGAGCACTAAACTTTCTACACATTAAAACAGCAGTTATGCTAATCAATGCCAGAAGCATAGCACCAAAATGTTTTCCAGCCACAGGAATTACAGAATTTGTAAGAAAAAAAATAATTGTTTAATCAGCTTTCACCGCAAATTTTCCTGTGTTTGTCCTCTTTTTCCTTGCCTAGGTCAGAAAAAGCCTCTGCATATGCATATGGCCTTGTTCTGACAAGCTCTTCAGGATAAATGCTTATCAAAAGCTTTTTCTGAAACAGGTATTTCTTTCATAACCCTCTCGGTACAGGAGCTGTGTTATGATATCCAAATGCTGCTTCTTTCCAGATCTGACCACCTTAGTCCAGCTTTCTCCTCTCCTGCCTTTAAGCTTTCCCTTCCCAAGGTGACCAGGAAAGGTGTTGCTTTGCCAGATCAAGGCATGCCTGGAATTGGTAACGATGGTCTGCAAGACCTCTCCAGCACTGCTCACTGCGCTAAACCTTCCCTCTCATCTTCCCACCAACACATACATTTACGGGTACGTTTATGAGAAAGGGCAGTTTATTATTCACATCCAGCCTCACACCTGGCTTTCCCGCCAGGCTAAGCTAAAAGTGCCAGAGATGGCCCTGTTTGAGGCAGCCTACAGTTCCCTAGGTGAAGGCTGGGAGACAGGCATCATTTTCACAAGCAGCTCACAGGAGACATCCACCTTCAAGCAAGCTATGTCCAGACCTGCAGCCTCAGGGTCAAAGCCTGAGCAACAGCTCCCACGAGCCATCCCGCTGCTTCAATGCAAGCACCCAAACTAAAAGTGTTTTTGCACAGGTGAAACCATTTATTCGAGAAAATTGTCAACATCCAGTCTCTCCTGATTACTGCAGCTCCTTCAGCAACAGCTTCATTTCTCCCTTTCCCTCTAGATTTTGACTCCTTAAGGTAGAGTGCAGCATTTATTCTAAAGTTATGGCAGTTTTCCTTTCAACACCTACAAGAATTTGGGGTTGGAGCAGCCATCATGGCTTTCTTCAGAGGTTTATTCCGAGCAGCTTTCTTCAAAATGGCTTTTGAAATTGTTTTCATGGAAAAGACAATTTGTCTTCATCACCCAGAAAGAAAACATACCACGAACTAATTAGCACTGATGAGTTTTGCTGCCTCATACTTTCACATCAATCTGAGTGGGACACCTGGGACGAGACCTGTGTGTACTAGTGGCATTGCACCAATTCACACCAGCTGAGGCACGGCCCAGGCACTCTCATCTGGTTGCAGAAGGAAGACAACAGTGAGTGAAGACATCTTAGTCACTCAAGGCAAGAAAAGTGTGATGAAACTGCTCTAAAGCCAGATAGCTTAACAACCTCTGGCAGCATCTGCTTGCCCCAATACTCAACCCAACTCACACAGCTGACAACCCACCACAGAAGGTCAGTGGGACGATGTTTGTGCAGCAGCCTGGTGGCTAGATATGGCCCCGACAGTACAACCCATGAGACTACAGTGCCTTCCAAATTTGAGAGCCACAAAGAGAACACATTTCTTCTATTACTGGACACCCCTAACCCCCATCATCTTTAAATGAGCACAGTCAGTTCTAAACGCTTCCAAAAGCAGAAATGCAACTGTGCCCAGTGCCAGAGCAATTCTGGAGAAGCTCCGTGTCACACTAACCATTTAAGGTCAAACAGCTCATTAGCCAACCCAAACTAGCACGCAAAAGAGGGCTCAGCTCACAGTTAAGCCTGAGTGAACACCACAATAGAGGTCTTATTAAGCACACATGCTTTTTTGGAGGTAGCCTGGCTGGATTAACACCCGGCACTGCCTCGGAAGCAGGGTTGTTGCTGTCTCCATGCACAGGCACCAACCACCACGTGTTCCTCACACCACCTGCTCCTGCTCAGGGTATATTCCCACTCTACCTCCTTCCAACCCCCCCATCAGCTGTGCCTTTTCTCCCAGCCATCTGTGACTGAGGGGGGAAGAAGCACTTTCCCTGTTTGGCCACCCTCAGCCCTTGGGGCCTCGAGCGCTAGTGACAACTAGGAACAGAGCAGCGCAGCCCCTTCCACCTCCGTCCCCTCCGGTGCCGGCGGCGGGCAGAGGGGCAGCCCCCAACCGACACCCAGCCCCCCGCCAGTTGCGGTTTAACGGCCGGCCCGGAGCGCAGCGCCCCCTTCGCCCGCTCTCAGCGCGCCGCGCTCTGCCGCTACCGCGCGCCTCGCCGCCCCCTTATATAGCGCCCTAAAAATAGCTCGCCACGCCCCGCCCCGCGGGCCGCGGGGAGGGAGGCGGGAGCCGCCCCGCCGGCCAATCGAACGCCGCCGCCGGCGGAACGGCTCCGCCCCCCGCGCCCCGAGCGGCGCCGCCATTGGGCGACAGTGACTTCAGGCGTGCCGCGGACCCGCCCTCTCCGCCCCGCCGTTTACCCTACATGGTCACGCGCTGCCTGAGTGGGCCACGCGGCTGCGGG